ATAAACAGAAAAGAAAAGGTATTTGATTAAGGTACTAATTTAATGTTAGGTTTTTTTTTGTCAATTAAAATCATAAAAGCTCTTCCTCTCAGAATTTGCCGTGTCGCGAATCATACTACTAGAAAATGTTGCATCTGTGATAAACTTCGTCGAAAAATTCAAAAAAATTGTTACATGATAATAATGTATTGATTTTCAAAGGTTACCTGTATTAAATTGTGTCCGTTCAGCAACACGAACAATGAATAAAAATTTCTAAAAACTCAAGAAGTGTGTTTTTTTTCCACAAACATTATATTTGTTAATGTATCTTTTGATTAAATAAATGAAGATTTTAAAAACTTACCTCCATCTAAAAACCATTTTGAGCAGTTTACTCTTCCTAAAAAAGCTAATTTTACGCAGAGAAACTGCAAAAAAGCGCAAAATTGGTGACTATTCTACTGTCTTAACTAAAAGCACAACAGGAAACTTTTTCAAAATTTTTTGGAGTTTCAGACAAAGAGTGACCTTCTCTTAATAAACGTGTAAGCAAAAAGTAGCAAAAAACGAAGTTTTAAAAGCTGGGGGTTCTTCACACACTATTTTCATCCCAAAACAAAGTTAAAAGACAACAGCACAGAAACTTTTTTATTTAGTATATAGTTGCGAAACTGTATTAAAATCTTATTCTTCAACAAAAAAAGAAAAAAAAGGCAAAATTGTGCACTTTTCAACCTTCAAATAAAACGCCGAGAAAGTTTGGTCACAAGTACAGAATATTGAATACTCTACATCAATATCTTTAAACTTATCCAAAATTCAATAATTTTTGCTAATTTTTCGACAACTGAGCTTTAGATAGTGCAGGGCATCTTCAAGCAGTCTAAAGTCGCCCTGTTTGCAAGATTTTATATATAGCTTTGTTGTCTTTCAAAACCTTTTTCTCATGTTGCAATGGTGATTGAGCACTAGAAAAAAACCCGTCAAAGAATAAGGTAAACCGCAGTTAATCAATTTTTTCAATTAAAAATCTAATTATAAAAAAGACTGTTTAATTATGTTTTTGATTAAAAGTCACAATTATTACATAAAAGAAATCCATAAAAATACAACAAGAAGGTAATCTCTTTTTTCTTTTTCAAAAAAAAAAACTTTGAAGTAAAAAAAACAGGTTAGAAAAATACCGAAGAAAGAACGAGCAAGAGGCTTCACAAAAATCTGCTTCAGGCTTCCCTGTTTCAAATATTCGAGCGAATTAAAAAGATTAGAACGTTGCAGCCAAGAAAGCGAATAAATTTCATAAACCAAGTTACCAAAATAATTTTACCAAACAGTTTTAACAGTTTTCTAAGACGGAAAGCTCTTAAAAGTTTTGTTAAAGACAAGATAATGACTGCAATAATTTCTTACTACTCAGACAAGCAACCTTCTACAACATTTTGAATGCTATACTAAAACTTCATCATCTTTTTGCAATAAATTAGGTTTGTTGAACAAATTTGACCATTCTCAACCTCCTCCTTACTTTAAAACTCTACAATTTCTTTCAAGGTTAGAAAAACCTTATACAAACAAATTAGTAAACAGTTGAATAACTATGTTTTAGTCGTTTATTGGCACTACTACTATTTCTTTCTCAACGTCTTTGCCAGCAGTACAGTTTCTGGAAGAAAAATTTTGGCAAATGTAATTTTCTTCCCTCTTCCCAATCTTTGACTCATGCAGGAAACTAAGAGAAATTATTTTTTCAACAGTGTTTAACAATTTTCACAAAAGATTCAAAGAAACGGTTGAGAAATACTGCAAAGCGTTCAAAGTAGTTTGAGACACGTTGAAAACGTTAAAGAGCGGCGCTACTTGGCAAACGCTTCCAAACGTTGCTAAAATTGGAAGTCAAGCAGATGACTATCATTAAGCCTAAGGCTCGTCTACAGTTGATTGTCAGAAACCTTAAAAGTCAATGAATATCTCGCAAAAAATGCTCTACTTTTCTATTAAAACTGTTCCAAAAAATTTTTTTTATAAATCAAAACTGCTGCTATCAAAAAGTTTGGATAACATGAGTTTTTCGAGGTAATAAGAAGTGGCAAAACAACTGAGTAAGTCAAAAAAATTATAAATTAGTGACTACGTGAAGTAAAAAATTAAGAAATACGAAGCCAATAAACTGCTGCAACTGAAAAGCCTTCAAATGCAGTATCTAACTAGGTACAATTTTAACTTTTTATGTTCTTTATGAACATCACAATAAAATATTCGAGAGCAACAATTTTTTTTGGTCTGGTTAGAATACAAGTATTTAAACATTTTCCTCAGAGATTTTTGCAAGTGATCAAAAGATTTGGATTCTTAACAGAAAAAGGTTCTAGAAAAACAGTCTTTGAGACTACATTTTGAAGTAATATCCTTCCTTTCTCTACTAAATTACCGGTCGTTTTGCGTATCACGCTTCCAAAAATTTTTTTCTACATAACATTTCTTTTGCTTCAAAAATGCTTAATTAAATTTCCACACCACTATTTCTGCTCAAATTTTTTTCTACGCAGAAAATTAATTTGCTTATTCTTTCTTTTACAGGACGTTTCACTTATACTGATACGAGTAACAAAAGCTTCTTCTT